TCTTACAGTCAGTGAGTTGGCGATTGTGCACGGGTCTCCAAAGAAGCACAGCCCTCCGAGTTCCCCTCGGGAGATAGTAGTTTGAGTCCTCATGAGTTGCCTCATAGCCACTCTAGGTGAGTAGGCTATGCAACCCCTGAGTCCTATCAAGGGTACATTCGGGTAGCTCCCACATCTGACGAGAACTGGGCCGGGTCGGAACCAAGGGCAGACCCAAGATATGCTGTTGGCGTCGTTTTGTTCTAACTCATCCCTCCATTCCACAGTCAGGCGTCGTTGGAGGGGGATTTTGGAGAAGCTTCTCAAAGGGTCAGGGAATATCCCCATGTGGCTGGAGGCGTAAAGGTGCGTGATGCTCCACACATAAAGTAACGAAGAGCAGCAGCGGAGTGTTCTCCCTTGCTTCTGATGGCAGAAATCCACCGAGAGCAAGGTGTCGGCAAGAATAGCAAGTAGGGGACTCTTCGAGTTCACGTCCCAGGCGAAGAAAGCGTCCATGACGGCTTGATCGACAGTGTCGAGGTGGAAGGGGAACAGGATCGTTCCGAAGATTACTAGTGCCAGGGTCTTGTTGAAGGCAACCCACTCTGCCCTTTCAGCCAGGTAGGACAGGTGGTCTTCTAACATTGATACTCTCCATCCCTGGGTGTTCCCTCTTCCTATCAGGGTACTTTGTCGGTACGGTAGATGGATAAGGGCAGCGACTGGTGCTGCCGGAGTGTATGCCTCATGGCGGATATGAACCCCGGCTGACTTGGGCCATCTCAACATTGTTTCATACTCCTCTAAAGTGGGCACCACGTCGAACTGCGGAAATTCAAAGCACCGCAGACTGGAGTTCCAAAAGTGAATCAGTACCCTGAGAAAGACTTGATCGACACTGATCTTTAGGAGGTCCAGAATCCGTCCATAGGATTTTTCAAAATCAGCGCGGACCTCCGGTGGCATCGTTGCACTAAGCCGTTCTAGCTTCTCAGTATGGCTTCGGAGAATATCCACCTTCCCCACTTGTCTACTTGTCCCCTCCATTTTCTAAAACCAAAATGTATGATTTGATGAAGATGATGTTTATTGAATGTTTATTTTACTATTTATCATGTTTTTCTACATGATGTATGGTATTTGCGTATTTTTCGAAAGAATAAACTATCTATATGAATGTTTTATGGATGTAATATTTTTGGACCAGGTCTTATTTGTGAATTTTGGAAAAATGGATTTTTTATTTATTTTTATTTGTTTATTTTATAGCCTTTTATCTCTTCTTTCGGAACTGCGTGGCTACTTAGCTTACAAAGAACCTGAAACCAGGCTAGCTAAAAGGCAGACTGTCCGAGATAAAATATGGCTTTATGCGAAAGAATATTTATCGTCCCTTATCTCTTTTGTCGGAACTGCGTGGCTACTTAGCTTACAAAGAACCTGAAACCAGGCTAGCTAAAAGGCAGACTTTCCGAGATAAGGGTGTTTATTTGAGAAGAATATATTTTTTTTTGTGATTTTGTTCTGTTGTTTGTTTATGCTATGCAACATACAAATGCAACAAACATATGCACACGCAATTCGATCATCCCCGAACAGGCGAGATTTCGTTTTTATCGAGGTAGGGTTTTCCTGCAGAAAAGTGCGTTGGTTAGGGTAGGTTCTAACTGTTCTCACCAGGCTAAGGCCCCCAAGGTGCCCCCATTATAGGGTCCCCACTCTCCAGCCGCCCAACCATGCTCAGCACTAAGGCCAGAGTCGGCCTCGTTGCCAAAAGAGGAAGGTTATCACCTTGAGTGGTGGTTTCCGATCACACTGGTGGGCACAAGGCCCTAACTGCAGCGAACCGTACCTGCCACCCACTCCCTATGGTTATCTCACTTGCCCCCGAGTATAGAGGGAACTGTAGTGTGCAAGGGTTTTGTGTGCAATTTATATTTCAATCAATTGCGTAAGTATAAACAAGCAACAATTATTTGAAAGTCAAACAATAAAGCATGTTATAATACAAGGCAGGGTAAAAGCGCTATTTTCTTGGTTTAATTATTCTTAAGTCAGCCCATCACTAAATGGGATCAACTCTCTAGGCTTCCCCAGTGGAGTCGCCATCTGTCGCTGCCTCCCAAAAAGGGGCGCGGTCGGAGCGACGCGATGGTTATTTCGACTCTTCTTCTTCTTCTTTCGCGTTTCTTATTAGTGGTTACAACGCCTTTAGGTTGTCCGATAACCGGGCTAACCTAGGGGCGAGGTTTTCAAAAAGTGTCCTTGGGTTGTTCGGTAACCGGGCTAACCCAAGGACTTTATTTGTTTTGGGTTCTATGGAGTCGCCACCGATATTTTTACCATAAACATCGGAAAAGGGGTTTTAAAAAGGCGTTGGTTTTCGAAAACCAACTTGGTCATTAGAACTAGAGTTGGGTAAGGGAGTTAGTTACGTGTAAAGGAAGTGTTAGTTCCTTTACGACGCCCCTTTCGGGTTCCCTATGATAGGCCGACTAACTTGGATGAATAATTAAACTGGAAAATAGCGCTTTTACCCTTTTATTATGCGGTGTTTAGAGATTATGACTACATGGCCCTAGTATCTATTGCATACATTTAAATGAAAGCGATAAAATTAGAAGGAGAGAGAATGTGCACCTCCAAAGCAAGCTTTTTATATATTTCTTTTAAAGAGAGGGTGCGTTTTGGCAACCCTTCACTCTTACAACTCTCAGAAACTCCGGAAATGCCTCGGAGGGATTCTAAAGAAGATTTAGAGCGCTCAGTTTATGCCTAAAGACACTCAGAAACTCCGAAAATGCCTCGAAGGGATTCTTAGAGAGAGAAAGTCTAGAGAGAAGGGAGAGCTATGCTTGTTTTTGTGTGGAAATGAGGGGGGAAGGACCCCTATTTATAGTTTTTCGTGCCTGACAGGTCGAGACCGCCGTCTCCTCTGACAGGGTCGAGACCGCCATCTGGAAAGTCCGGACCGCCGTCTCGTTCATGGCAGAGGGTCGAGACCGCCGTCTGGAAAATCCAGACCGTCGTCTCGTCTAGGCAGGAATCGAGATCGCCGTCTGGAAAATCCAGACCGCCGTCTCGACCTTTGCAGGAGACGAGACCGCCGTCTGGAAAATCGAGACGGCGGTCTCGTCCTGGCGTTGAGACGAGACGGCGGTCTGGTCCTTCCATACGGCGGTCTCGTCCCTTCAGGGAGAGAAACTTTATTTTTTGGGCCAAAAAACCTTCCTATCTTGGTACGGGGGCCTAATAGTCTCTCCTAGTGGCTTGTTAGGCTTCGGCCGTCTTCAAATAGGAAGCTTTCTGGCTTTATTTGGAGGCCGGACAAGATTTGGGGTCTACAAGCACTTAAATATATATATATATATATATATATATATATATATATAAAAGAAAAATTAAGTAATAGTCTTTAAATAAAATTTTAAAATTTACTTTTGGGCTCGTAGACCCCAAATCTTGCCGGCCTCAAAATAAGAGTAGAAGACCTCCTATTCGAAGATGGACGAAGCCTAAGAAGCCACTAGGAGAGACTATTAGGCCCCAAGTTAGAGTAGGAAGGATTTTCTGTATAAAAATAAGGATTTTCGCCTTCAGGGGTCGAGATTGCCGTCTCGCTTTTCGGGACCACCGTCTCGCCATTGCTGCAAGTCGAGACCGCCGTCTCGTTTGGCGAGACAGCCGTCTCGCCACTTGCCAATGGCGAGACCCCCCTCCCAATTGGCGAGAAGGCCCTCTCGTCTCTGGGAAAGTCGATACAGCCGTCTCGCCAAACGAGACAGCGGTCTCGCCACTTTTGCATGTCGAGATCGTCGTCCCGAATTGCGAGATGGCCGTCTCGACCTTGTCAGACGAGACGGTCGTCTCGACCTGACAGGCGCGAATCCCTATAAATAGTGAGCGCTCCCCCCCTCATTTCACACAGTTCTTCCACTTTCCCTTCTACAATTTCTTCAAATTCTCTTCCTAGAGTCCCTCCGAAGCATTTCCGGAGTTTCTGAGATTCTTAGAGAGCTTTTTATAGCGTTTCGAGAGAGTTTTCAGCATTGTAAGAGCGAAGGGCTGCCAAAACGTACCCTATTTTTCAAGAGTATTAATCAAAAGCTTGCCCGAAGGTTTCTTCATTCTCTCACTCTCTTTTACTGTCCTTATTTTCATGATTAAATTACGTAATAGACATTAGAGCCATGTAGTCATTATTTTAATTCTGCAAATAAAAGGGTAAAAGCGTCTTTTCAAAAGTTTATATATAAAATAGCTGGCCTATCATAGGGTACCCAAAAGGGGCATCGTAAGGGAACTAACACTTCCCTTACATGTAACTAACTCCCTTACCCAACTCTGGTTTTAACGACCGAAGTTGGTTTTTTTAAAAACCAACACCTTTTTCCTCATTTTTCGATGTTTCCGGTAAAAACATTGGTGGCGACTCCATAAGAACCCCTTCAAATTAGTTCTTAGGTCAGCCCGGTTATCGGATGATCTAAGAACACCCTTTCGAAAATCTCGCCCCTAGGTTCAGCCCGGTTATCGGACAACCTAAAGGCGTTGTAACATCACCCATAAAAACGCGAAAAATAGGAAAGTCGGAACCATCGCGTCGCTCTGACCGCCTCTTTTTTACGACGGCGACAAGGCCCAACCCATTTTCCTATGCTAGGTCACAAAATTTAACCTAATTGATGCCTTTTTCCTATGCTAGGTCACAAAATTTAACCTAATTGATGCCTTTAAATAAGAGAGTGGTAACTAGGGTAAGGGGGGATTTCATTGGGGAGCCGTGCGAGAAAGTAGGAGACAGGTTCACGTGTTTGAAGGTAATGATTTTTTTTTTGTATGATTTTGTTCTTGAGTTGAGAAGTCACATTTTATTTATTTATTTATTTATTTCATTTCTTTCGTTCCCTTATTCTCACATACACCTTTTTTTCACCTCCAACCCCTCACTCGTTGGAGACCTCACCCTAGGACACCTTCACCTCCTTTTCCTTCCCTTCTCCTCCCCACCACCATGTATGGTCCCAAAACCAGCCAGCCATAGCCTCACGCCTCCTTCCCTTCTCTACCTTAATCATCCTCTGTTGACCTAGGCTACACCCAGTCACTGCCGCTTCAACGTCGCTACTCACCTAAGGCCACCTATCACAACCCATCGCCATCACCCAGCCACCGCGGGTTTTGGTCGTGCCACCGGCCTCCACCTTAGCCCTAACCCCTCCGCATCTCCATCTCACCCACGGCCCATCACCGCCTCCCTGGCGACCACCATGACGACCCCAACCGACCTCGAATCACCCCAGCCATCTTCTACCAGCGGGGCTCGCCCCACCTCCACCCTCAAATACTGACCACGGCCAATTTACGACTGCAGGCCACCCAAATCATTGCGCAGTCAGTCATCACGGACTTTGGCCGCGCCGCAAGCACGCCCCACTCACCGCAACCCAATTGTCGTAAACCACCAAAGCCCTAGCCATGTTGCACAGCCAACTTCTGGCCACGCCACTAATCCCTCACCACAGCCGGTCTTTATCCCCTCTGAATCTCGTCGCAGCCGAATTCCAATCCCGCCTGCAACCATTGTGGTCGTCCCTTTGCCATTCTTCTCCTCCCCTCCTGACCGTCGCACCAAGCCAGCAATGCTGCGAAGTGCCTCGTTGGGGTCCCAGGTCGCTATGCTGACGACCATCGCTGGCCCTGCTTTTAGGCCACCATGAGTTCCCCCTCCCCTACAGACCCTTGAGACTCCTTCTCTCTTCTTTCCTTTTTCTATTCCTTTTAACCCTTCTTGTTGATTATTATTTTTGTACACATTGTAGTTTGATTCAGTTTGTATTTTGCCTATTTTAATTGTTAGATTTTCCCATCCTTTCTTCATTGTTGGATCATATTTGTTATGGGTCATGGGTCCTTGTGTTTTGATTGATATCTATTAAGGACATTAGTCCTTTGGTTTGAGTTCCATTTGCTATCTTTATCCTGCCGTATTTTCGTAGGTTGATAAGTTTACTGTCGTTATGCATCTGTTCAGCACATTAGTCCTTTGGTTTGAGTTCCATTTGCTATCTTTATCCTGTCGGATTTTCGTAGGTTGATAAGTTTAATGTCGTTATGCTGCCGGATTTTTTTCGTTAGGATGATAGGTTATGGTCAAACACTATGGGTGGTGGGTCGTGATTTATGGGTCAAGAGTTAGGATTTGTGTCTATCATTGCCTTGGGTTTTTCTTATCTGATTTATTTACTCGAGTTATGGGCTCCCAGCCCCGCGTTTGATTTTTGGGCTCTCGACCCTGCGTTCGGTTTAGTGGCTATCGATTTTTTAAATAAATTTTGAGGTACGGGTACGACGGCTTGCATCGTCATGTCCTCCTTTAAAATAAATCTTGAGGTACGAGTACGACCGCTTGCGTCGTCATGTCCTCCTTTTAAATAATTTTTAAGGTACGGGTACGGCTGCTTGCATCGTCATGTCCTCCTTTTAAATATATCTTGAGGTACGGGTATAACCGCTTGTGTCGTCATGTCCTCCTTTTAAATAAATTTTGAGGTACAGGTACAACTTCTCGCGTCATCATGTCCTCATTTTAAATAATTTTTGAGGTACTGGTACGACCACTTGCGTCATCATGTCCTCCTTTTAAATAATTTTTGAGGTACGGGTATGGCCGCTCGTGTCGTCATGTCCTCCTTTTAAATAATTTGTGTGGTACTTGTACAGCCGCCCGTGTCATCATGTCCTCTCTTTAAATAATTTTTGAGGTACGGATATGATCGCTTGCATCGTCATGTCCTCTTCCTTTAAATAAACTTGAGGTACGGGTACGACCATTCGTGTCGTCATGTCCTCTTCTTTTAAATAAACTTGAGGTATGGGTACGACCATTCGCGTCATCATGTCCTTTATTTTAAATAAACTTTGAAACACGGGTATGGCTACACGTGTCATCATGTGTCTTCAAAACATAAAAAAACAATATTCAAAACCCAAAACAAAATACAAACTTTTTCAAAAAACAAAATTTCCAAAACATTAAGCAAACACATAAACCTTTTTCTACAATGAACTACATAACCCTGATTTCTCATTTTGAATGAGAATATGTAGGAGCAAGGTCAATCCTTGTCGGGCCCCAGAATATATCTGCCTGGGATTTTTCTAGTTGTTTTGCAGGTGAGGGTTGGGTATGCATTTTCCTTCCTTCACACACACACTTAAGCATTTCATATTGAGTGCGACCCTATACCCGGGTCTGAGCAAGCTTAGAATTAGAGGGGTTGTATAGCAATGCCGCTTGGAATGTACTTTCCGGCTGGTCATTGTGAGAACCCCAGCTAGAGTTGTTTGCTTCATTGGTAATCTCACCTCTAGTCGTTTACCGACTATCATGGGAAATGATGTGAAGTGAGCCATAACTCTAGTGACTTTCTACCATTAAGATCAGGGAGCCCACCTGGTGAGTATACATGAGTTACCCTAGGTCCTTAGATGTTACTCTAAACCATGATAAGGCACAAAGGGAGAATCTTGCATTCCTACCTCCCACCTTATTGAAATGCATTCACATCTTTAAGTCTGTTTGCATTTGCATTCATCCCATGATTTTTTTCTGACTATTTTGGGCTTACGCAGGAAAGAAATCATTGAGTAGTTTGAATATTTCGGCAAAAGGTGAAAATTAATATGGGGACTCGAGAAGAGAAAGAATTTAATCCAAGTACTCTGAGGAAGAAATTACAGATAAGGGTCAAGGAAGAGAGTATGTCTAGTCTAGTGGAATTGGGGCGAAAGTTGAAGACAATACGGAGGGATGCCTTTAGAAAGAAATACGGGAATTTGCTGAATCTGATGGAGGTGGAGGTACAGGGAGCACCAATCACTACCTTGCTCCAATATTATGACCCCCCTTTGAGATGCTTCACTTTTTCGGATTTTCAGTTGTCTCTGACGGTAGAGGAATTAGAACAAATTTTAGACCTGCCTTTAGAGAACCGAGTTCCATACCAACACGCGGAACACTCTACTTCCATTTCAATGTTGGCAAATATCATGAATTTACAACCCAGGGAACTGGAAAGTCGCTTGGAATTTAGAAACAAAGTAAGGGGCTTGTCGCCGCTGTCAAAAGAGGCAGTTGGTGTGACGTGATGGTTTTGTTTGACTCGCGTTTAAAAGTGTGGTTCAACGCCTTTAGGTTGTCCGATAATCGGGCTGGACCTAAAAGCGAGGTTTTCGAAAGGTTCAAGGAGTCGCCACCAATGTTTTTCCTAGAAACATTGGAAAAGGAAAAAGAAGGCAGTAAATTTTTAAAGAAAAACCAACTTTGGTCATTACAACCAAAGTTAGGTAAGGGAGTTAGTTACATGTAGGGAAGGTATTAGCTTCCCTACGACGCCCCTTTCGGGTTCCCTATGATGGACTGTTTTTTTAAAGAAATAATGACTTTAAAATTGCACTTTTACCCTTATTTATTCATTGCAGAAATTAAGTTATTGACTACGTGGCCCTAAATGACTAATGCACAACGATATTATCTAGAAAGTAATAAAATAGAGAAGGGAATGTATAGGAACCTTCGAAGCAAGCTTTTATAGTAAATTCTTTGAAAGAGGATGCTTTTTGGCAATCCCCACGCTCTACAATGATGATCGTTCTTCCTCGCAACACTATAGATCGCTTTCTATGAACTCTAAGAAACTCTGAAAATGCTTCAAAGGGGTCCTAGGAGAGTAATTCGAAGATTTTACAGAAGGGAAAGTGGTAGAATGGTGTGAAAAGAGTGAGAAAGTTCTCCCCTTTTATACGAATTCGCACCTGTCAGGTCGGGACCGTTGTCTCGCCTGACAAGGTCGGGACCGCCATCTCGCCAAATGAGACGGCGATCTCGCCTTCGACAAGTGGCGAGACGGCGGTCTCGCCATTAGCGAGTGGCGAGATGGCGGTCTCGCCAAACAAGACGGCGGTCTCGACCCTTTGGGTGGAATTTCTTATTTTTCTTATACAAAAATCCTTCCTATTCTAATATGGGGCCTATTGATCAATTCTAGGGACCTTTTAGGCCTTGCCCATCTTTGAACGGAAGTCTTCTGCTCTTTATTTTGAGGTCATACAAGATTTGGGGTTTACAGCTACCTCCCCTTCACCTGACTAGCCGACTGTTGGCTCAACATGCCAAAAAGATCGGTTGAAGGGTGAAAGAGTTAACCCTCTTGCCCGGTTGTCCTTCGGTTGCTTTCCTGGTTGTGATAGCCGACCTTCTGGATGCTAAATGTGATACTTCGTGATGCTCCTTTGACGCGGTAGCAGACCCCTTCAGTTGATGAGTACAAACCTCCATCTGGTTTGATAAGTATGAACCCCCCATCTGGTAAGCCCCCTTTTGTAAGGTCTAATGAGTACGCACCCCCATATGGTTTGACGAGTATGAACCCTCCTCTGGTAAGTCCCCTTTTGTAAGGCCCGATGAGTACGCACCCCCATATGGTTTGACGAGTATGAACCCCCGTCTGGTTGTAAAGTCCACTTTGTAGGACCGGTTGCAACATACTACTTTGGCTCATGCGCAATTCCTTGTGAGGAGTGTTTCTGCTTAATATTATGTTTTTACTTTTTTTAGTCGTCTGGTGTGCCGAGGATTCTTTATTTTGATCTTTTGTAGTGGTCATCCGACTTTGCTGGTTGTCGGGGATTTTATTGGTCTTCTTCCATCTAATTGAGTACTGGGGATTTGTTGATTTTGATGGTGCCTCTGAGTAGGCAGATGCTTCATCGGAAATGAAGGATTTCGGTTCGCATTGTTTTTCTTGAGGGGAGCTTTATTTGGAGACTTGCTTTGGGTGCTTCCTGTTTTCAAACACAAACATGGAGCTAGTCTCCTTATATGCATGAATGCTTTTCATTTTTTGGTTGTTTATCTGAAGTGATTTTATTTTTGTTTTTTCGATTTTGACAAAGTCGTTTTGTGCGACTACTTGTGTGGATGCCTTAAATGCAATCTACTTTTATGTGATGCATCTAGAAAGTGACTAGCATTCTTCTATTGATTACGCTGATGGGCTCTTCTTTTTATTCATTTTCTTTTTATTAAGCCCTATCTTTTGCCTAGACCGCCCTTTTGGGGTTTTCGATCTAGCGGGCTGCCTTAATTTTTGCCTAGGATATCTTAGCGGGCTTTTTCCTTTTTATGAGTGCCTTAACTTTTGCTTAAATAGCCCTTTGCGGGTTTTCAATCTAGCAGACTGCCCTAATTTTTTGTCTAACAAAAGGGTAGCATTTCGTGCCAATCCTTGTATGCTATCACCATCTTTTGGATGATCTTTTTGATGTTTTTGTTGGCTGCCTCCACTCCACCGCTCATTTTGGATCGGTATGGAGAAGAATTGTGATGTTGAATCTTGAAATCTTGGCATAATTCTCCCATCATCTTGTTGTTTAGATTGGTCCCGTTATCAGTAATGAGCCGATGAGGGATACAATACCGACATAGAATATTCCTCTTAATGAAGGTGATTACCACTTTCCTAGTCACGTGTGCGTAGGATGCCGCGTTCACCCATTTAGTAAAATAGTCAATGGCCACCAAGATAAAATAGTGACCATTAGATGCTTTGAGCTTAATGGGTCTGATGACGTCCATGCCCCACATGGAGAATGGCCATGGTGTAGCCAAGGTGTTGAGAGGTGCGGGCGGAACATGAACATTATCGGCGTAGACTTGGCATTGGTGACATCTTTTAGCATATTGGGGACAGTCGCCTTCCATCATGGACCAGAAATACCCTACCCTTAGGATCTTCTTTACCATGACATGCCCAGGTGCGTGGGTCCCAAAAGCTCCTTTATGAATCTCCTTTATCAGGGTTTGAGCCTCATCGCGATCCACACACCTTAACAAAGTGGAGTCAA